TACTCTGATGAGGATTAGGAAACCATCTAACCTGGTTTATTAGAATTGGGTGTCAAATATGGCTGTGAGGACCCCTCCTAGTGACTAAGGAGCATGGCCTCTGTGATAGCTATTTCCATGCTCAGCAGCTTTTTTGGCTTAATTCTGGATTCTTGGCAGTGTTTGAGTTGAGTGATGTAGCTGGAAGAGTTGACAGGATGAAAGGGGAATTATGCAGCTGGATTTTTAGCATATATCATTATTTTATAAATATCCTCTCCAAAATGCTGTCAAAGGGCATATGTGAAGACTTAATTGAAGTCTAATAAAATGCTCAATATAATGTACTCGCTACTGTTTTAAACCTGCTAATTTAGAAATTAATCTGTGTTAAATTTTGAAAGATAGTTTGAGAAATACAGTAAATATTTCCTGCATTGGTGCATAGGTCTAGAGGATGGTAAATGTGGAGAACTTTGTAGCATTAAAGGAAATTTATAAAATATTATTTGACATCATCCATCAATTTGATAGCATTAGAGATTAAAAATGATAGCATCTATTTATTTATTTATTAAAGATTTATTTATGCATACAAGAACTGGGGTATGGGCCAGAGGTGGTGGGGGGGAGAGGATTCACCAGACACAGAGTGGGGCACAGATCAGGCAGATTGACTGAAACACACTGCTGAGGAGGGGAGCAGGCAAGGCAGGAGAGGTCTGCTGTGCCATGTGGGTCACCTCCCTGGCCAGCCAGGGAATCAGGGAATTGAACTCGTGTTGCAGTGGCTAGCGACAGCTTGATAGTGCTGTCTTTAACCCCTGCACCACCTGGAGGCCCCTGTCTAATTTATTTTTCACAGTGTTCATCCTTTGATGACTTCTTCACTCAATTACTTATACTTTGATCAAACTCCACATAGTCACATAGATGCCCAGGACATTTTTCTCTCATCTCTCCTGCCATTCCCGGTAAATTTCCTACTAAGATGTTTTATTGTTAGTTGTCTGTTTTTTCCATTAATTTGTTCACCTGCCCTCCCTCAAACATTAGGTGCTTACTCTGAGCTAGGCACATTCTGGGACCTGGGGTACAGCTGTAAACATGACAAAGTCTGTGCTCACATAAAGCGTTATGTTCCCAAAATGGTGACAGACAATCATCTAGGTAATGGCTTGAAGGAAAATAGGCTGGGACAGAGAGTGAAAGGGAAGTTGATTTACATAAGTGGGATAGTACCACTGGGATGAAGGTCTGTGTGGCCATTGCCAGGCCACATGGGCCTTGTAGGCACCATGGTAGAGAGTTCAGATTTTAAAAATTTTGTATACAGTATTGTCCTAAGGTTCTGTGACACTTCCCAAGATTGTCCATTAGCCTTCCATCAAATATCTTTAGGAACTTTACTTTTGTTGTTCATTTTTTCCCCCAACAGCTTTAGCTATCACCTCTGAAAAGATGTATTAGAATTCTGATATTTTTGTGATTGTGGCAGTTTTTCTGAATAATAATTCTGCATTTCTCCACACCGCTACCTCAAGTGAAAATGCTTAAAACTTATTCCCTGCTTTTCCAATCTATTTTTCCTTTTAACTTTTCTGTTTCTGTGAGTAAAACTATTATTTTCTAAGTTACCAAACCTCAAAACTTAGAGGTAACTGTGGACTACCCTTTCCTATCTTAGTTTTTCTTCCCTTCTCATTTTTTTTTCATTCAACAAATACTTATTAAGTGTCTAGTTTGTGCAAGGCACTATTTTAGGCATTCAGGATACCTAGCTACCAAAATGGACTAAAAGCAAATCTTGGCTATTGGAGTAGTGGTGGGAGAGTGATAATGAATAATGAACAGTTAAATTATCTAGTTTGTTAGAAAACAGTAAGTGCAGTATAAAAGATGAAGCTGGGTAACATGTGGAGGAAGCATGTGGGTAGGCAGAGTGTTTCATGAGAATTAACAGAGACATGAACCTAGAGGAGGATTCCAAGTCAAGGAAAGAGTCAATGCAAAGATTATCATCAGATCACTTTCCTGGAGTGTTCAAGCATCAGCAAGGATCTGATAGTTGCTGGAATAAAGCCAGCAAGGGCAAGAGTAAAGAAATAGAACTCTAAAACTAAGGACAAAATGTCAGCAGCAGACCCTCATATATCAATAATCACCTGAAATGAAGTGGGCTGAACTCACTAATCAAAAGGCACAGAGTGGCTGGTTGGATCAGAAAACAAAATCCAGCTATCTGCTATCACCAGGGAATGTACCTGAGCTCCAAAGATAAACATAGGTTCAGTGCAAAGGGTTGGAAAACATTCCTGCAAGCATATGGGACTCAAAAGAAAGGCAGAGACGATCATAATTATATAAGATGCAATAGAGTCCCAGCTAAAAATAGGTAATAAGAAGCAGGGATGATTATATAATGATTAAGGGAACAATATATCAGGAAGACATAAAACTCATCAGTATATGTTCATCCAATAAAGGAGCATCAAAACATATAAGGCTGTTACTATCAAACCTCAGAGATGGCAGCAAAACAATAGTGACCAGGAACTACAACATCTCACTTTCATCAATGGACAAAACCACCAGACAGAAAGTAAATGAGAACACAATAGCCTTAAACAATGAATTAGACCATCTGGGTTTAATAGACATTTATAGGGTAATGTATCCCAAAAAGCTGAATACACATTCTTCTCAAGTGCATATGGAACATTCTCCAGGATAGACCACATATTGGATCACAAAATAAGTATCAATAAATTCAAGAAGACTGAACTCATATCAAGCATCTTCCAGTCACAATGGTATCAAGCTAGAAATGAACCACAAAAAAACAGAGCAAAATTCTAGTATGCAGAGACCGAACAACTCACTACTGAATGAGTATTGGGTTAATGAGTAAATAAAAGAAATACATGAAAAGATACCTCAAGGTAAATGAAAATGAAAAACCTATGGACACTGAAAAAGCAGTCTTCAAAGAAATAGAACATTATTGAAATTCATATGGCACCATTCAATACCCTGAATAGCTAAAACACTGTTATACTCTCAGACTTCAAACTATACAAAACAGCATAGCAAAGTCCATGCTCACATGAAGCATATGTTCCCAAAATGGTAAATGTTAATGGAAGGAAAGCTTCTCCAATAAATGGTGCAAGGAAAACTGGTAAATCATATGCAAAAAAATGAGACTAGAACACTGTCTCATGCCATATACAAAATGCAACTCAAAATGGATAAAAGACTTGTATGTGAGACCTGAAACCATAAAATATGTAGAAGACAGATTTGAATGCAATAAAAAAGCTAGAGCAGAGGCATATTTGCTGGACATGTATGCTCATTGCTAAGATATCCTTTTATTTATGTGTTGCTGAACACCACAGAGGTAAAAACCAATAGTCAGAAGGGATGAGGACCATCACTGCCCTTTGCCTATGTCCATGAGAGCCTCATATTTGAAAATGTTGAATAAGCTAAGCTTCCAGAAGAAAAATATGACTTACCTCCAAATATGATATGTATTTTTTAAATAATTATAATCCCTACACTAACACATTAGTTCTTCAACTTTGTTTTCAAATAAATCTACTGATATTTAAATTAATACTATATATTACTGTATGACCTTTAAAGTAGAAATATGAGCTGGAACTATTGGACTATAATGTAGTCTTGATACTTAAAGAACAAATTTCAGACAAATTATCATTTCTCTTCAGGTATATTACTGAATGTAGTCCTGATATTTTCTAAATAAGAAATGAAACAGAGTCACAAAGGGGAATAAATAGAGAGATGAAAAAAATAACTCTAAGAGTAAACTTTTTAGTGTGATAAGTGTAAGGAGGAAAAAATATAAATAATATATATGTATGGTTTTCACATATGCTTTAAGAGTATATTTAGAGACAAAAAGACCTATATGTACTACATGCATTGTAGGTCCCATTCCAGTGTTATGTAAGGACATTGTAAATAACTTTAGAAATATGCAACATGTATGGACTGCACCACTACATTGGGTTATTATGGGAAATTAAGATTTTTCTTGAATTCATATACCCCGTGTGATTTTATTTTAGAATAAACTGCAAAGTAGAATATATAAATGCACTTCTTTTGCAGTGTGATGAAATTTATATGTTGTGTAATTTTCTTATTCTTATGTGCGGTTCTTTATTCAACTGCATATGAGTTGTTTTCCTACCATATATGAATTTCTACCTTATGGGAATCACTGATATTTGTTTATATTTTAAAATATTTTCATATTATATATATATATTTTTTAAAGATTTATTTATTTATTTATACAAGCACTGGGTACAGTCAGAAGCGCAGGAGGGTGAGAGAATTCACCAGAGCCAGAGCAGGGAGCAGAGCAGGCAGAAGGACCGAGGTACACTGCTGAGGGGAGCAGCGGGTGGCAGGAGAGGTCTGCGCGCCATGGGGGACCCTCCTCCGGTGGCCGGGGAGCAGCCGGGGATGGAACCGTTGCTGCAGAGGCTGCGGACAGCTTCACAACCCAGCGCTCAACCGCTGGCCACCGGGGAGGCCCCATTATATTTTTAATGAGGTAATGTGGGTTCACAATACTGTATATGATAAGAGGTACATATTCACATCTCTTCAAATGTATATTATCATATGCCACCAAAACCAAAGCACTCCTAATCCTTCGCCACAGACCACTGGGTTCCCATCCTCTTTCCTCTCCATCCCCATGCTCCCCTTCTGATAGTCCCCCCCTCTAACATCCCCCTCTGATAGCCTTAATTCTGTAGTCAGATATATAAGTTTAGTTTTGCTGTTTTTTGTTTTGTTTCTCAATCAGAATTACTGATATTTAATAATAATGTCACCAACTTAAAATTATAGCCAAAAGCAGAAAGAAAAAGCATTAGTTTTCCCTAAATCATCTTCTTAGCATTTAAAAAAGTACTAATGAGCTAAAGATGATAGATATTTATTATTAAAATTAATACAGTTTATGCTTTCTCTAGGCTGGAATGATAAAAAGTGATAATGATGAGTATTTCATTGAACCCCTGGAAAGAGGTAAGCAAATGGAAGAAGAAAAAGGAAGAATTCATGTTGTGTACAAGCGGTCAGCAGTGAAACAGGCTCCCATAGACATGTCCAAAGACTTCCACTACACAGGTAGGCATTCTGATAAGACTTACTAATTCCCGTCATTTTAAGATGTAATGAGTATAATTCTCCATCAATTCAGAGAATGTGATTGTCATGTGCTCTTTTATACTGGAAAGGTGGCAACAGAAACTCATATTTATAAATTATGAAATGTAACTTATTTTTTAAAAAAATGATTAGAGGATTATATGTTATATTGTTTTATTTCAGTGCATTATTATTGTCTCAGTATCTTTGTTATTTATGATCTTTAAAAAATGTTTCATATTAAAACTCTTTTCTCTAGCTTATGTTAACTTTTGAAAATATTTGAATTTTCCACAAGTATCTATGTTATACATTATTAATGTTATTTAAAAACTTTTCAAATGAGATATATTGACAGGACAAAGTCATGTGTTTTTTTTTGAATACCATTTGATAGAAACATTTGAAAATAAATATTCTGCTAGACTTTATGGTCTACTTTGTAAAATTTTTTACACCATGGAGGAGACAATGGAGTCAAATGCTTCAGTTGAATTTTATTTCAAAGTAGGCCACTACAGTCAAGTAAATTATAGCACATGAAGATTTCCCTTTTTTTTCGTATTAATGAAATGTGAAAATAACTTGGTGTTAAAAAAAAGTCTTTGTAAGTTGGATATAGAAGTTTCCTTGATAGAAAAGAAAGGAAATGTTGGAATCTATGTTTTTTTAACCAAATTTCTAAATGTCTGTATGTACTTTTACTGGAACAATTTTCTGAATTAAAGGTAATGGAAATTTACTATAGGGAAATGTCAGGGATGTAAATTATCCTAATTTAACAGTCTTCTAGGTCAATGATGAATTACACATTAAGAGTTGTTACATAGTTATTTAATTTGACTTTCTTTTGGAAGCCACCAACTTCCTTAACTGTTTTATCCTATCAGTCCACTTTAAAATAAAATTTGAATAACAGGCCTGTAATTTCTGAATTGAAACAGTAAGATGTAGTAATACATAAAGCACTATGAAATGTGTTCTTATCCTAAAGGGTCACTATGGTATCACAGAAAGAGAATCAGCTCTGTAGTTAGATGGGTGTGAGTGATAGATCCACAACATCTACTTCTTCCTTTGGCTAGTAGTTAACTGTTCTGAGACTCATTCTTTTAAATTTGTGAATAAAGAATAAAAATAGATTGCATAACTGTCTTAACTATTGGAAATAATATATGGGAATTGCTGACTAATAATATTTTTATTTATTTTTATTAATTATTAATACTAATTATTGAGTTAAAAGACACATTAGGAATTTTTTTTAAAATTGAAGAGTTAAACATTGCTTACCTTTATGTTGTCACTCAATTGTATTTTCATGTTTTAAAAGTCATTCTGAATTAGAAGACCAGTTATGTCAAAGGAAGAATAGTAAGATAAGGTGTTTTTTCTATTGTCTTGATTTTATATATTACTCAATTCTAATATGCCTTTTGAGGTAATAGTTAAATGCTTTTTAGAAAAACATAGCCTAGCTGTCATGGAATCATGTTCAGTGATTAAATACCAAATTTGTCCTCATGACTCACTTCTGGTTTACTCCATCTGTCATACCATAGTCTCACCTAGCTGGACCTGTTGCTCCTTTTCAGTCCCTGAAAGGGAGAAGGGGTTATTTTATTTTTTTCTTGAAATAAGAAAATTGAGCTATATTTTATATTTAATCTCTCTGTTGTATTTGTAGATGCTATATTAGGAAAAGTAATTTAGTAGTAAGAGTATGTAATATCTAAGTTTAAAGTAATGAAATGTGATTAAGGTAATTTGGAGCATTATTTTAGGGCATTATTTAAAATATCAATTCCAGTAAAATCAGTGTCAATGTACTTACATTTTATAATGAGTGGTTTTTAAGAGTACAGACACCGTATTATTTTCTATTTTCAATCATGAATATAAGATTATTTTACAGTGGAAGTAGCCCATAAATTAGAGTAATGCATGTTGGAAAGGTTTTCAGTGGCCTTGGGTCAAAGCAAGAGCAATTCTTTTGTTAACTATCAAATTACACAGCAGCTTGGATCAAACTGGAACTGTTGACTTCTTTTAAAAAAAAAAATACTAAAAAAAAAAATAGAATGTCCCATGTTAAACTTAGTAAAAGCCCAATACTTTTGATTTCCTTTTTATCAAGTTCTGATAGAACTGAGTTGCTAGAGATATGTTAGCTTCTTTTGAGGATCTTAAATTGTAGCCATGTATTTTAGAAGTGTCAGTTTCTTCCTAGGGTAAAAAGAAATAGGATTTAGAGCTTTTAAGTTTCACACTATAACTTTTAAATTTTCCTTTTAATTTCTTTGGTCACAGGACTGAAAATCAAGTTTCTGTCTTGAACTAAATATTTTCCAAGTGGAAATTTAGAATATATTTTTAATTTATCCCATCATCCTAAAATGTAAAATTGAACATAATCTAGAATTTGAAAGGCATATTGATATAAACGAAAACCACAGAACTATATAAAAATTATATTTTTTGAATCAATTCAGGGTGTTATTTTATGAGACATGGCATATTCAGTGGGTTATAGGAAAATAAATAAAACACATAAGACAATTAGAAAGTAATGCATCTGAAGCCTATGATCTTCATAAATTTTTGTGACAGCCAGCCTGTGAAGTCAAGTTTCGATCACAAGTAAAATACTACCTTACCAAGTTCTGTAGCAGGATTCCATAAATAAATATTATGTATTTTGCTAATTGTCACAATAATTGCTTGGCCACATTTCTTTCTTTCTTTCTTTTTTTTTTTTAAAGATTTATTTATTTATTATTTATACAAGCACTGGGTACAGTCAGAAGCACGGGAAGGTGAGAGAATTCACCAGAGCCAGAGCGGGGAGCAGAACAGGCAGACTGACCCAGCACATTGCTGAGGGGAGTAGCGGGCGTGGCAGGAGAGCTCTGCACCCCTTGTGGGATCCTCGCCAGTGGCCGGGGATAGAACCGGCACTGCAGAGGCTGTGGACAGCTTCACAGCCCAGCGCTCAACTGCTGCACCACCGAGGAGCCCTTGGCCACATTTCTTGCTTTGTCATCATAGTAACTCAGAATTGCCATTCATTTGAGGTCTGTAATTTGTTGTAAGTTTTCTAAATTAAAGCCAATCATGATCTGAACTAGGTGAGTAGTAGTGAAATGGGAAAGCTGGATTAGATTGAGATGGAAGTAAAACTGATGGGGGTTAACTACTTGAGGGAGTAGATGTTAATGAGGGAAAGAGAAAGAAGGAGAGAGGAAAGGAGAGAGGGAGTGATGGAGGAAGAAAGAGAGAGATCAAGATGATGGATGATTCAAAATTCTAATCTGGAAGACTAGAGTACTATTTTTCCAAAATTCAGGTATTTAAAATAAGAAATATAAATAGACTTGATGGTGGATGACAAGAAGATATAATTTTTGAACTACTGAGTGTGAAGATCCATTAGAACAGTGAGTGAGCTTAAAAACTGGATAGTATATTTTTATAATCATGCCCCAGAGTCAATGCACAAATGCCCTTATGCACGTGTTGAGATAGGGGTGTGTAGAGATTAGTTTATGAGTGAGGTGGCAAGTTTTGTTAAATGGATGCTTATAATGTCTGCTTGCCTTCTACTCTCAATTTATATCAGTGAGCCTCAGGAAGTATATATTGCACAGAATTGGGAGTTCACAAAAGATGTTTGCTACCTATCCCTGTAAGAGAAAAAGACATTATGTCCTCAAAATACAAAAATAGAACTGTACACTTAAGAACCTTAAGCCATTCCTCTTGACTAACTGCACACATCTATTTCAATTCCTTATTCCCTTAAGCATATTTATCTGGGCTTCCAATAAAAGTCATGGCTTTGAACTTGTGGAATAATTTATTACATTGTGTGATTCAGCAAAGACAAAACCCTCTACCATTCTCATATATTGCAATGATTCTCTTCCCTTGGCTTTTAATAGGAAAGTAGTATTTCTTTTGAAATATAGAAAGATATGAAGAGCTTTTTAAATATATTCTGAACTTGTAAATTCACAGATGCAGTACTCTGCTTTAAAATTTCTCTTTTAAGGGACTCCCTGTTGGTTCAGGGGTTAAAGACTGTGCTATCAAGCTATCCCAGCCACTTCAGCATGAGTTTAATTCCCTGCTGGCCAGGGAGCTGAGATCCCCTGCAGGCCAGGGAGTTGACCCACATGGCCCAGCACACCCCTCCTGCCTCACCCACTGCTCCCCTCAGCAGTGTATTTCAGTAGATCTGCCTGTTTTGCTCCCCACTCTCTCATTCCCCCACACCTCTGGCTTATACCCTAGTTCTTGGATGCATAAATAAATAAATCTTAAAAAATAATTTCTCTTTTAACAATAAGATATAAAGCACTTTTACATTTGACTTTATAGTGATCTATTCTAGTGCAACCTGGCAGGCATTCATAATACATAGCACTGCCAGTTTCTGGCAAAAGAATACCATTAAATACCATTAAATAAATAACATTAAATAACAAACATGAACAACTTGCTTATGATAAAGACATTGTCTACTTCTTCATGGGGGTAGAGTTGAATTTACTTGTATTTCTCTAATTTCTCTTTTGGATTGAATATTGAAACCACTTCCATTTTTGGCATCCTAAGTTCAGGCAAAATTATATTTTACTCTTTTTGAAAGTTTACTTGGTAGCAGCGTGATTAGTAAACCACTAGAGGTCATAAAGTTCATCTCCACGGTTTAATCCATCATTGGTCCAAACTTAGATTAAAAAACAAAATATACCCCTCACCATCTCTTAAGCAGTCTACTTTGTTATCATTAAGAAGTTCGCTTTAGCCAGTCTGTTTGGGGGGATGGGCAGCTCTATGTGTATGACATCATTCAGCTTTTCATATTTTTTATTTAATCCTAGGCCCTTAGGCTTCTCCCCTCAAATTACAATCTATTCATTCACCCGAAGCTTTGTATTTAAGTAATTTTTGTAATTACTTCCTACCAGTGGGAA